TCTAGACACCTACAAATATTTTAACCCGAATTTCTCACTTCAATAATCCTCATTTATCTTCTTCGAGAAACTCGCATCTGGCTTACAAAACAAGCCATAATCGAATGGTGGAATTCGTAAGTCTGACTAGTCGTCAAGACTGACCTTTATAAGTGAAAGACCTCGCACTATTCAAGGTTCTATAAGGTCTCATCTCTTCACGATTCTCAATGTAAGAGGCGATTTCTCATGTGAGAGGGTCAATCTTGCGACTTGTTCGACACACTTTATCAATAAAATATCATCACATGCATAGTAGATATGAACATAAATTCAAGAGTCAAATATTGATGAGCATATTATAATAATTAAGTCATTTTACAATACATAAACATGATCATATCCTTCGCAAACCTAGAGCCATAACATATTTCTCAAACAAGTCTTTAGTTATCGCCTTTGTAAAAGGAGCAACTATCATATTTCGCTTACCAATGTACTGTAAATTTATCTCCCCACTTACTACCATGTCTCTTACAAGTTATACTTGATGTCAATGTGTTTGGTCTTGCTGTGATACTTAGGATCTTTGTGTATGCAATAGCCGCTTGACTATCACAATATAGAGTCATGGGACCGTGAGAGTTATTTGTAATATCCAAATGCTCAAAGAATCTCTTCAACTAAACAACTTCTTGTACTGCAGACCCACAAGCCATGAATTTAGCTTCCATCATCGAAAGGGTTGTACATGTTTGTTTCTTACTTTTCCATGAAGTAGCACCACCATTAAGTAAGAAAGCATACCGGATGTTGATTTTCTATCATTCCGCTCACCAACCTAATAAGCATCTGTATATCATCTCAAGTATAAATCATTTCCACTATAGCATAGTGAATAATCAGCATTTCCCTTCAGGTGTCTGAAAATTCTCTTCACAGCTTTCCAATGTTCTCTTCCAGGATTGGATTGATATCTGCTAACCAGACCTACAACATAACAAATGTCCGGACGAGTACACATCATAGCGTACATCAAGATCCCGACAACACTTGAATACGGAATTCGAGACATGTCCTCCTTTTTTATTTTCAATCTTGGGACACACTACAAGGCTTAAAGTTTCACCTTGGCTATTGGAGTATCCATAGATTTGCAACTATCCATGCGAAAACGCTCCAAAATTTTCTTTATATAAGTTTCTTGAGATAGACTCAATAACTTTTTAGAGCGGTTTCTTTGGATCTTAACTCCAAGGATATAGTCTGCCTCACCCATATATTTCATATCAATGACTTTGAAAGTCGTGACTTCATAGTTTTCAAATACTCCAAATTATTTCTGGCCAATATGATATCGTCCACGTAAAGAGAAAGAATTACAGACATCTCATTGGACTTCTTCACATAAATGATTTACACTAATCCAATTAGATAATAATCTCTAATCACTCAATCCATTCAAAATTGATTTCTTAATAAGATCGTCGGAGAATGCATACACCTTCCTTTCCCCTTATTAGCTATCAACACTTGCTGTAAGTGAGAAATTCAGGTTAAGACATTTGTAGGTGTCTAGACCAAGGTCTGTATGTCGAATGAGTAAAACAACTAGAGACACGCACTAATATATGGTGAGAACATCATAACACGTGTTTCATACCACGTGTGCTAACGACCAATGGGATAATGGAAGAATTGACCCCTGCTTCTTCAATATGTGAGATCCCTAAAAGTTATGTTAATTTTTTTTGGAATACCCTTTGACTTTTTACTGTTTCTTGAAGTGCTAATCGATGTTGCTACTTTAGTATGTCACTAATAGCCATGAGTGATTCGACAATGCAGTGCATGTCTAGGAAAGCAGTTGATTTGGGATGGATGGTTTCGAGTAGAAAGGGAAGAAAACTAAAATAAATAACATAACTTGTATTCATAGGTCGACAATTACACTTACCAGTAGGGTAACAAGTGTAATTATGGATACAAAGTTAAACATGAACTTGATTTCACCTCTTTCAAGGATGGGGGATCGAATAACTAGCTACTGAAATAGCGGGCGATGTCTTGAGTATAGCGAGTAATAAGATCCTTATATTAGTAGCGAATCTTTTTCGAATGTGATCGCATTTCTACATAGAGCTTTAGAATAACCTTAATAGGTTTGAAATATTATATAGCTCTTGATGCTCGCAGGTCGCACAAACTATTTATTTATATGAATTATGTGTGTTATTAACATGATAGTAGTTTAGGTCTAGCCCACCATGAGTGAATTGGAAGATGTTGGATGTTGGTTCTAAGTCATGGGTCGCTCCATGTGGGTAGACCCGGCCCATTTTTTGTTGAAGGGATCAACTGAAATAACTTCTCAAAAGAAGTTACTACATGTAAGTGTAGTAGGGGCAATTTTTGTTGATAACTACTATTTGAGTGCTCTTAAATATAGAGGTTCTGATCTTTGGCAAAGTGTGAGAAACTCAAGAAAGGAAAAAATAAAGAAGTAAGTTCTCTTCTCTTCTTCCACATTAACACATAAAAAGATATTTAGATTGTGGCAATTTTGCTTTGTTTCCAAGAGATTCAAAGTGGGCTTTGAAGTAATTTTCTGGGTTGTAACTTCTACTCTGCTGCATTAACAGGTAAATAAATCTTGTACTGATCTTGAACATCTATACTGATCTTAAAATAATTCATGTACTTGTTAACGTAGTGGAGTAGAAGTTACAACCCAGAAAATTGCTCCAAAGTCCACTTTGAATATCTCGAAAACAAAGTAAAATTGCCACAAACTAAATGTCTTTTTATGTGTTAATGTGAAAGAAGAGAAGAGAACTTCTCTGTTTTTTCCTTTCTTGTGATTCTCACACTTTTCCAAAGATCAGAACCTCTATATTTAAGAGCATCCAAATGGCAGTTATCAACGAAAACTGCCCCCACTACACTTACGTGTAGTAACTTCTTTTGAGAAGTTATTTCATCTGATCCATTCAACAAAAATAATGGGTCGGGTCTACCCACATGGAGCGACCCATGACTTAGACCCAACATCCAACATCTCTCACTTCGCTCATGGTGGACTAGACCCAAACAACTATATGTTAATAACACACATAAATAGTTTGTGCGACCTGCGAGCATCAAGAGCTATAATATATTTCAAACCTATTAAGGTTATTCTAAAGCTCTATGTAGAAATGCGATCACTTTCGAAAAAGATTCACTACTAATATGAGGATCTTATTACTCGCTATACCCCAGACATCACCCGCTCCTTGAAAGAGGTGAACTCAAGTTCATGTTTAACTTTGTATCCATAATTACACTTGTTACCCTACTGGTAAGTGTAATGGTCGACCAATGAATACAAGTTATATTATTTATTTTAGTTTTCTTCCTTTTCTACTCGAAACCATCCATCCCAGATCAATTGCTTTCCTAGACATGCACTGTATTGCCGAATCACTCCATGGCTATTAGTGACAAGCTAAAGTAGCAACACCGATTAGCACTTCAAGAAACAGTAAAAAGTCAAAGGGTATTCCAATAAAAATTAATATAACTTTTAGGGATCTCACATAATGAAGAAGCAGGGATCAATTCTTCCATTATCCCATTGGTCGTTAGCACACGTGGTATGAAACACGTGTTATGGTGTTCTCACCATATACAGACCTTGGTCTTGACACCTACAAATGTCTTAACCTGAATTTCTCACTTCAATAATCCTCATTTATCTTCTTCGAGAAACTCGCATCTGGATTACAGAACAAGCCATAATCGAATGGTGGAATTCGTAAGTCTGACTAGTTGTCAAGACCGACCTTTATAAGTGAAATGACCTCGCACTATTCAAGGTTCTATAAGGTCTCGTCTCTTCACGATTCTCAACGTAAGAGGCGATTTCTCGTGTGAGAGGGTCAATCTTGCGACTTGTTCGACACACTTTATCAATATCATCACATACATACTAGATATGAACATAAATTCAACAGTCAAATATTAATGAGCATATTATAATAGTTATGTCATTTTACAATACATAAACATGGTCATATCCTTCGCAAACCTAGAGCCATAACATGTTCCTCAAACAAGTCTCTAGATATCGCATTTGTAAAAGGAGCAACTATCATATTTCGCTTAGGAATGTACTGTAAATTTATCTCCCCACTTGCTACCATGTCTCTTACAAAGTTATACTTGATGTCAATGTGTTTGGTCTTGCTGTGATACTTAGGATCTTTTGTGTATGCAATAGCCGCTTGACTATCACAATATAGAGTCATGGACCCTGCGAGTTCTTTGTTAATATCCAAATGCTCAAAGAATCTCTTCAACCAAACAACTTCTTGTACTGCAGAGCCACAAGCTTTCCAATGTTCTCTTCCAGGATTGGATTGATAACTGCTAACCAGACCTACAACATAACAAATGTCCGGACGAGTACACATCATAACATAAATCAAGCTCCCGACAATACTTGAATACGGAAGTCGCGACATGTCTTCCTTATTTATTTTCAGTCTTGGGACACATTACAAGGCTTAAAGTTTCACCTTGGCTATTGGAGCATCCATAGATTTGCAACTATCCATGCGAAAACGCTCCAAAGTTTTCTTTATATAAGTTTCTTGAGATAGACTCAATAACTTTTTGGAGCGGTTTCTTTGAATTTTAATTCCAAGGATATAGTGTGCCTCACCCATATCTTTCATATCAATGACTTTGAAAGTCGTGACTTTATAGTTTTCAAATACTCCAAATTATTTCTGGCGAATAAGATATCGTCCACGTAAAGAGAAAGAATTACAGACATACCATTGGACTTCTTCACATAAATGATTTACACTAATCCAATTAGATAATATTCTCTAATCACTCAATCCATTCAAAAATGATTTCTTAATAAGATCGTCGGAGAATGCATAACCTTGCATACACCTTCCTTTCCCCTTATTAGCTATCAACACTTGCTGTATATGTAATTTCCTGCTAACACATTATAGACAACGTAAAAGTGCAATAACAAAATCCAGTAACTCTATTTCCTTTGAATTAAAGCTGAAACATCAAACCAGAAGAATCCCCAAGGATGATATTAGGGCAGATAAGGTATAACTTTTACCAAGGAAAAACATATAGTTCTACTCATTGACACTTCAGTAACTAAAAACCTTCTGCTAGCAGCCTCCTAATTAAATGCACAAAAATCTTCCCCCTTGTCTAGATTTCCAAGGTAGCTTTTAAATAACAGCCTTCCCAATCAAGGGAGCAGGTCATTTTCTTGAAAAGATAAAATGTCAACCTCAGATCAAATGTATAGTCAATAACTGGATTCATAAGTAAGGAGAGAGCATCATCATCGCCTTTGCACTGCTTCCCGAGAATCAAGGCACCAACACCTGTAGTTTGGTGTCATTTTCTCGTGTGTCATGGATTTCCATGGATCAGAGATACTGCTAAAGCTTGGGGATGAATTTGGTACCCTCGTGGTCTCTTCCATCGGGTGGTCTTGTGAGCGGATCCTCTTATACAGCCGCATGACAGACACAGAATCTTGGTAAGGATCATGGAAACCAACTTGGATATCATATCTGTTGGGAGAAAACTTTCAGTCAGCATAGTACAGAAGAGGAGACATAGTATTAAGCACAGTTGAAGGAAATAACTACGAAGCGACCAACTCTGCACAGAAATGCCTATTCAAGCTCCAAGTAACCAAACAGTGACAGAACATTTTCTTCACTAGCAGAGGGCTCTTGAAGTACACCCGCAGATGCATAAACTTGACCGACAAAAATACAAGAGAAGATAAAATCAAGTCAAAAACATAAGCGTAAGCAAGTAACTTGCCCTAGATAAGTCTTGGTTAAATATTTGAGAGAGTGGCTGACGAAGTTGGTCTTCATCAGGGGGCGGTATGTTGCAGTATCTCTGCATAGAACAAAAGCAAGACATGAATATTTCTAACCATGGATAGGGGAATGAATCTTGTGCAGAAACGATATCCAAGGCACATGCAGATAGTTTTTCCATATACCCAACTTGACAGACAAATCCAGAGAACGTGAACAATTGATAATCCTTAATTTTATCGTCATTTCTTATGTTTGAATTTCTCAAAATGGAGTACAAGAGAAGTCAACACAAGCTGCAATGGGAGCTATAGTACATGCTCACAGATCAAGTTTCCATAACCAGGGGTTAAGGGACAAATATATTAGGTTCCAACATTGAACAAATATATTCATACTTTTACTATCTCCCAATGTCTTGAATTGCTTTTTACATGTTTCACTAGACATAAAAGTGAAACATAAGTTACCGTCGACACTAATGCGCAGCAATTACGCAGTTCTGAGTGATTTTGATAAAAAATATAAAATTAACAAGGAATATAACGGGAAAATAATTGTAGCAGTTTAATTTAGAAGCAAACTCTTTAGGAAGAGCAACAATTTTTTATGGTGGAAGTGAATGAATTAGGCCAGAAGTAACAAAAGGACCTAACAAGTATAACTCCAAGTATTACCTTACTTTCTTTCAATAGACAAAAAAGCTCTCAATATTACAAATCTAGGAAAGAGTGGTATACTCTCTCTCTCTCTCTCTCTCTCTCTTTGGCCAATAAAGTTATAAAGAAAAGAACTACGTACTATATTAAGATACAAATTCATGCTATGGTGGTGCTGGACATAATTCTTGATATTGAAATCATGATATAACCAAATTCTGCATAAAAGTAACTAAAGATTCTAACTTATTGATAATGTGGGAATTCAAAACCAGTGCCAATAGAGGAAGCAGAAATTTATCTTCTGGGCGATTAATGGTATATGGAGTGGAGTACATATTTGGATGACCCCAGCAGGTGGAAGGATTAGAGTATCAGCATTTGGATAGGAGGAATGCCCAAAGAAACTAAAGGGGTGGAAATTATACAGAAAATTGTAGGTGCAACAAAGAGGGCCATTTTGGCTCACCTAAAGAAGTAAATAAAATGCATGTGGCAATTGGCAAGCCTCGGAAAAATACTAGGCTTCTTGTACCGGATTAATGAGTTAATAGGTCTATCTCAGGAACAAAACTACTTTGACCTAAGCATAAATGATCCACCCAAAACAATACTCAAGTATAAGCTATTCTCTTTGTCTTCTTTTATAGCGGTGTTGTAGGTACTCTTAAAAAAGCATCTTATGACAAAATTATGAATAATTTAATCATTCGTGTTTATGCATGACAGTGAATGGCGTAATAAACATAATATAGGACAAGCCCATGATCTGGACATTATACAGGAGATAAGGTTCTGACAAGATGATTTTCAAAGAAAACCAAAAATAAAACTACCTCAGAAGACGATCAGGATAAGCCATCACCAAGCAATCCAGGTGATGCGCAAGGTTATGGCCCACAAGTACGTTTGCTCTTCCACCATTCAATCTTGCTCTAGCAATTGACTCTCCATTGTAAAGAATCTGCAGAATTCTCTGCCGGACTTCATTCAGAGGCATGGCATCTCGTAGATTCTCCTCTGTTATACCAGTAATTTCATACCTGACACACAATGTTGAGGAAGTACGAAAAGGTATAATACCAAAAAAGTAAACCAGCACAATAAGTAGGTATGTGTTGCCAACAGATACCTATAATCAGTAACAGGTAACTGAGGTTGAACATAAGTGTGGAAAATAAGCCTCTCTTCTTCGTCCACTAGGCATACCCTTGCGCAATAATCTAGCGATCCATCACTTCCACATCCAACCATTTCACAATCTATGGCAACTGCTTCCTGACTTCTTATGCTGCCATTTCCACTACTTATATCAACTTCATATTCTGAATTAAGCATCTCCACTGTGTCCTGCATCAATTTAATATAACAATTCAAGCAACTAAAATATACATTTAGTGTATCCTAAATGTAACTGATTCTTGTGAAGGCATTGAGGGAGAGAAATTTCATCAACTCACAATGGGTCGAGGAGTGGTTAGATGACACATTTCCTTATGCTCGTTGAGAGAGTCTACGCTTCCACAGATTTTCAGACACAAAGTGCAGCCTCTTTCTGCAAAGATGCTTGAACAATTCGCTTTGGACAGAGGACCTAAAATGTTGAGGAGAATAAAAGGAAATGAGGGAGGACAGCGTTATAAAAGAGCATTTGCACTCAAAGATCATTCCTAGTCTTAACACAATAACTGACCAGCAACGTGCTCCCTTAGTGATTCGAACGATTTGCAATGCTTGTTACACGCACCACACTTAGGGTCATGAACCGAGTGATTAGAGGTTTTCATATGTTCAATAAGATGCTCCTTCTTGTTATACTGCTTGTAACAAGCTGAGCACTTGTGCCTGGTAACACATAACAAGAACATAAGCAAACACAACCTTCAGCAAATGAAATCAAGATGCTTTAACCCTGCATAGAACACCTTAGTTTAGCTGTTGAAAATCATCTTTTTACTCCACCTCTCCACAAACAAATCAGCATACAAGGGTGAACACATCTAACTTAGTGAATAATTTCTTTGAATCCTTTTTCTCAAAATAAAATTTATATATTTAGGAAATATATAAAATAGGATTTAACTTATATATTGTATTTTTGTAACAATTTTTATCATATTACTAATTAATGATGGTTGTAGAGATTTATCCATAATTACCTTATTATAAGTGACTTGGTCATGTAAATATCTTTTAAACTGTCACTGCACAAAACTTAAACCCTATAAAGAAAGTAGTATATAATACCAACTTTTACAATATATGAACAAGGGCAACAAAACAAACGCGGTGTAATCCCACAAGTGGAGTCTGGGATACGTATGCAGTTTTACCCTTACAATATATGTACAAATTAATTAAAGAAACAAAAACCCCACGAACGAAAAAGCACGCATATCTCCAAATAATGAAGTCTTGCAGGGTCGTCAAGTATGATTTCGTACATTGCTTCGTGTACAGAGAGTTGTAAATTACCTAGTGATGTTGAGGGTTTGCAGAGGAACTTCATAGGGCTGCTCCATAGAATGAACTCCGCTGAAAATGATAGAGTGGAGTTAAAGCAAATACAAAATGGAGATGTATTCAGGGTCCAGTAGGATTGCAGTGATGCTGCTTCAGCATTTCAACACCCTCTTTGGTTTCTTAACTCAAACTAGTGCTAAATTGAGCAACTGCATTGCAGGGTCCCTCAAAAAATAGAACCTTTTAACTTTATTTCCAGTTTCTGGTCATTAATTAACGGTTCCTCTAAGTCTACCCTTAAAAGTAGCACCCTATAGCTAGTTTTCGGACTGGTCAATCAAAAATAGGCAGCGTTTACCAAGTCAATGAAAAATAGCCACTATTTTGCTGCAATAGAGACCGGTCCAGCATAACATACTGGAGTTCGGTGCACTTGTGTATGAACTCCAACATATTATGCTGGACCAGTATACTTTGCTGGCTCCAGTATAATATACTGGAGACTGGAGCACCGGTGCTCCAAACTCCAGTATATTATACTGGACCAATATACTTGCTGGAACTCCAGTATATTATGCTGGAGTTCTAGTGTACTTATGCTGGAACTCCATCATATTATGCTGAAAGTATGCTGGAACTCCAGTATAATATGCTGGAGTATTTTCCGGGTTTTGAACAGTATTTTCGCTCAGATTTATCTTTATATAAAAAGTGGCTAAATTTAGATTACTTTTAAAATTGGACTATTTTTGAACGACCAATTGTAAATCTGGCTATTTTTAAAATTTACCCTTAATTTGGTCAACAAGATTGTTATGAGAAAATATTTACTTCGTCAAAATATAGTATAATCCAATTTGAAAAAGGTCCACAATATGAAGGACCTTGATGACTCTATAAGATAACCAAATTTGAAAATAATGTGACTATCTGAATAAGTTCCTCATAAAAAAAAGAAATTAGAAGCACATGTTGGAAGATGTTGCTTTAGTAAAGTGTTAATTGGACTAAAATCAACATACAAAGTATTATAGGATTGTGTACATACATTTACCTTCTATAATGATATTAATCATAATAAATTAATATATTTTGATATAAAAATTGAAGGCGAGTAAGTTTCTACATTCATTAAATATCGATTTAGTGCAATAAAATCCTGCTGCCACAATATTTCCTATTATACTCATAGAGGTGATAGTAAATTTAACTTATTATATGCTTTCAATCACTAAATTTTACTAGCAATCTAGCAGTTTTTATACTTGTTAAAGCGTACCCAATACTTTCCTTAAAAAATAAGCCGTTTTTTTCAAATTCAGCAAATAATTTTGATCAGTGATAATCTCTCTCAATGTTTTTCCTCTCTCGTCCTGATTTCCTCTCCAACCTTCCTCGGCCTCCTTCCTTCTCTCTCATCGTCTTTCTCTTATACTGTTCTTATAATTTAAAACACAATAAGCAAGATAGAATTTTTGACAACTTACCAAGAATCTTGGCCGAAAATTAAAAATCGATTTTCCCTTTTTCTTTCTCCATTATTTTTCATTTCATGAAAATTATCCATGGTTGAAGTAACGCCTTTCAAAGTCTTTCGGACACTTTCAACTCTTGATGTTTCGGCAATTCTTTTGTGGCGTGTATATAAAACCTTATATGCTCAGTCTAATAATACTTTGCTCAGGGTGATATTAGATACACTTTGAAGAGTTATAGTAGATTCATAAAATATAAGTGTGTAATTGAAAATTTAGGACAAATGGATACAAAAATTATTTATTAATTATATCTCGTAAAGCCTCTTTGTAATTGGATTTGTTTGTAATTACACGATTTAAGACCGCTTGAATGGCTAGTAATTACTCGATAGTTAGCATGAAATTGAGTGTACTTGAGTTAGAGCAATTAATTGCACTCTCCAATTCAAGGGAAAACAAGAATTGATGATAGTTACATGATATAGTTACAAGGTGACTTTTAAATTATTTTTAGCTTTTAAAAAAAGTTATATTATTCTTATTACACTTTTTCTTTTTTATTCAAACATATGAGAAAAATTATTTAAAATAATTTTGTGTTTTACTTACTTTATATTCTCTTCATTACTATAATTTTTTTTTCGGTCAAAATTAAATTTTTTTATTTCAACCAAGTATGATTATGTACATCCACTAGTTACATTGGACTCTATAACTAGTCTTCCAGAATCTCACTACCTATTTGTAAAGGTATAAGTTCCTCTTTCTAGTTTCTTAACTACCTCTAGATAGGATAACTATTCAAGGACTCTAAGACTCTCTTCCATTTGCTGAAATGTTGTCCTCTTGTGTGCAACTGTATGGTTATCTCTTTAAGAATCTATTTGCTCTCTTTCTTTGTATCTTGGAATCTTCTTGCATTTCTTTCACTCCACACATGGTAAATAGTTGCAGCATATAGGAATTTAATGATCTGTGCTCGTGGTCTGCTGTTTCTCATTTTCCTGCTTTTCCACTTAGTTTCTTCCTCTCAGTTGCTAATTCTCCTCTTCTCCCCTAGCCACCTGAGTATTGTATTCCAGATTTGGGATGAATAGGAGCACTGAAAGAACAAATGCTGCAGGTTTTCCTCGGCTCCAGTATTGCATAGGACACAATCTGTTTTGACGTGTATACCCCATTTCTGCAGTCGATCAACAGTAGCCAATCGACCCATAAGTGTCAGCCATAGGATGAACTTGTGGTTTGGTATAGTATTTGGTCCCAGCACTAGTCCTTTCCATTGAATTGATAAGCTTTTTTAATTCTGAATTTACCTTTGTCACAACAATTTTGTAATGCCATATTAAAGTCCATGTTTAGAAACCATTTCTTTGCATCCAATATTTTTCTTACCATCCAGCAGGCCCGTGCAGGTGTATTTAGATGTTGTACCTCTTTCCCTTTGATATAGTATGTACGGATCCATTTTATCCAAAGTGCATTTTTCTTGGTTGCTACAACCCATAATAATTTGCTGATAGCTGTTGTTCCATGTATGGAACTCTATGATGCTCAGTCCACCCGCTGAATATGGTTTACATAATGTCTCTCATGCAACCAGTGCTTTCCTTGAGCTCTCATGACTGCCTGTCCATAGGAATATTCTGCAAACTCTAGTTATGAGTTGGATGACTTTCTTTGGAATTAGAAATACCGGAGCCCAGTAGGTCCGCATCTCAAACAACACACTTTTAATAAGTTGCACCCTTCGACTGTATGATAAGTACTTAGTGGACCAGCATCTTATTCTTGCAATCATTTTCTCAACTAATGGTAGGCATTGTTGAACTGTGATCTTCTTTGAGGACAAAGAAACCCCCAAATACCTGAATGAAATCTCTCCCTCTGAGAATTGCATTTCATTCAATAACTGTTCATTCAGTTTTGAACTAACCCCTGCCACATACAATGAACTTTTTTTCAAATTAGCCTTGAGTCCAGATATTGCTGAGAAGTGGTTGAACTGTTGAAGCATCAATTGTATAGGAAATGGATCAGCTCTACAACACATAATTAAGTCATCAGCAAATCATATACGGACTATCTCCAACTTGCTACATCTTGGGTGATAGTTGAAATCTGGATTATGTCTCAGCTGCTTGAGGGATCTATTCAAATACTCCATCACAAGAACAAACAAGTATGGAGACATTGCGTCTCCCTATCTTAGACCTCTCTTGGCTTGAAATCTAGGTGTAAGTCCTCCATTGAATAGCAAAGTGTAGCTCACCGTGCTTACACACTCCATAATTAGACTTACAAATTTCCCAGGAATCCCAAATTCTAGTAAGACCATTCTGAGAAAGCCCCATTCATCTGTATCAAATGCTTTCCTAATGTCCACCTTTACTAGGCATCTAGGAGACACTCCCCTTTGTGTGTATCCTTCACCATTTCATGAGCCATAATCACCTTATCCAGAATATTTCCCCCCTCAATGAATGCTGACTGTGAAGGCCCCACTAGATAGTCAGCTACTGGTTTCAACCTAGCAGTAATGACTTTAGCTATCAGTTTGTATAGTGTAGTACAACATGCTATAAGTCTGAATTCCTTCACAAGGGTGGGGTTTTTAACTTTTGGAACTAAAGTTACAGTAGTGCCATTTACCTCCTTCATCAGTTTACCGGTTTGAAAGAATTGCATTAGTGCCTTAGTCACCTCCTTTTCTATCAAATGCCAGTATTGCTTGAAGAATTCAACTGGAAATCCGTCAATGCCAGGGGCTTTATCAACTGGTAGGTCCTTCAAAGCCCGAACCACTTCTGTTTCTGTTACTTCCTGTATAAGGAGAAGTTTCTGTTCAGTAGTGAGACAAGGTCCATCTCTTGCTATGGTTGGGTCCAGACACGTCATTTCTACTACATTTGTGCCCAATAGTTTCTGAAAGAAGCTTATAAATTCTTTTTGGATTAAAGCAGGCTCATACAGTTGAATTCCATCTTCTGTGCAAATTGAGGATATTCTATTTCTCGCTTGCCTTGCTTTCAATGCTGCATAGAAAAATTTTGTGGCCGAGTCTCCATAAGCTAGCCATGTTGCTCTAGACTTCTGTCGGAGCACTTTCTCATGTATAGTTGCCCATTTTTTTGTCACGACCCGGATTTCCCACCCTCGGGAGTCGTGATGGCGCCTACTCGTGAAAGCTAGGCAAGCCGAGTATTATAAATTCATTACCCTTTTTATTAAGCATGTTCAACAATTCAAAGTAATAAGTGATTAAACAGCGAAATAAATTAAATAACCAAAAATGCGGAAGACGAAAACTTAATAGTTTAACCAAACATTGCTACATAATCTGAAGTACTATACTACCCAGAATTTGGTAATTTCACAAACTGTCTAAGATTACTACAAATAAAGGGTCCGAAGAATAAATACAAACTGTCTCAGAAATACATAGAAGAAACAGTAGAGAAAGATAGAAGGAGACGCCAAGGCTTGCGGACGCCTGCAGGACTACCTCGGGTCGCCTGAATGGACTGAAGACAGCACCATCACTGCAGTCCAAACGCTCCGGTATCAGTATCTGCACACAGTGCAGAGTGTAGTATCAGCACAACCGACCCCATGTGCTGGTAAGTGCCTAGCCTAACCTCGGCGAAGTAAGGACGAGGCTAGGACCAGAATACCAAATAAACCTGTGCAGTTAAATCATATACAGCGGGAAATAAAAGCAGATATTCACAGTTAAAGATGGGGAGGGGAAGGCATGCTACGGGGAG